GTCCATCTATTGATACAGGTCGCTATTTGAAAATCAAAAGTAAGTAGTATTAAAATATTATTTTTACGGACGCCCGTTTATAAAAAAAAAAAAAAAAAAAAAAAATACGTCCTATTTGAACGGTTTATGGAATAAGGGTAAAATGTTCAAAAATATCCGTTGTTGTTTTACGATTCTAATAACGGCCGAACGGGTGAGGGGGGGGAAACCCAAAACGAAATTTATTCAATATTTTCGTCATTTTCGTATAGCGTATTCTATAATAATTACATGAAATATTTTGATGATGGTAATCGCAGGCTCGCGATAGAGAAACCGGCATACGTTTGACTAACTCGGCGTTGTAAAATATCCGAATAAAATTGTTCAAACGCTTTTTTCGCGGACATTTCGGTTTGTGGCGGGCGGCAGAGTTGAATCGGCGATCACAGTCTGCGAAAACACTTCGGGCCGCCACTGCTCCTCGTATACGCGCAGACGCACGGAATCCGCGGCCGACAGGGCCCGGTATTATCGGGCGCGATACGGTATTACGGTGATGAACGCGCGACGATACGGATGCGCGTAATGTTTCGTATCATTTCGCATCGTCGTTTCGCCGTGCAGTCGTACGCGTCGCGCGGTGAAGATAATCCGATCACGTCGGGGGGGGATATATTTCGTACATTCGCCCGCCGATCGGATTTTAATCTGACACGGCGTGCGCGCAGGCGTGTAACCCGCGCGTGTACCTACGCGCGGTTTGTCGTTGTCGTTGCGCGGGCGAATCGCGAACGGTCAACAGGTAGACGGCGGCGGCGGCGGCGGCGGTTTTTCGGGGACCGGCTACGGCGTTGCATGGGTATGCGGGTACGCGACACCGGGATCCGCTGCCGGTGCCATCTGTGTTTGGACAGCCGCGCGGCGGCGCTAATGCCGAAGTCAAATAGCGAAACGTATACGTTCGTGTACGGTAAAACCGTATACGATACCGGGACAAAAGGGAAAAAAAAAAAATTAAAAAAATACTATAAAACCGGAGAAAAGGAACGCGCACGTAGGCTATGGGCTATGCGAGACGACGACGGCGACGGCGCGAATTCGTTATTTGCAGTGTACACAGACGACGAAACACTGTCCCGTTTCTCACGACGACGACGAATCCGCACCCTCCCCCCCTCTTCCTCCTCCACCTCCTCCTCGCTTCCGCACCCTCTTAATCGTGTATATTATTGACATTTCGATTTTCCGGGGGCACTGCATTATTATAATAGTAATTTATGAGGGGGTGTTTTTACGTACGCGGTTTCCGTCGTAACGCTAGTAAACAGTTCGGAAACATATGTTCGGGAGGGAGGGGAGGAGCAATAAGAGCCCGGACAGTAGAAACACGAAAAGTAAAAGTACGAAGTATAAAAATGTTCGGAACGTAAACTCACGAACCGTAAAATCGCCGAATTCAAATCCGTGATTTTACTTCCCGTGGTTTTATACTCCGTCGTTGTACGTTCCGAAATCTTACCGGTCGGTAATTTTAAGCTGGGTTTACAGGTTTAGCCATACATGCTGCAAACTGGGTTGTGCAAATTCAATTTGCGCAAAATACTTTATCGTTTAATCAGAATTGAAATCAGGACTGCATAAGCGATTTGTACGATTTCGGGAACTACTTGAAAATAAAGCTGAGAATGGCACAAGTTTAGACCGATATTTGAAAGTGTAAACAATGAATAATTGTGCAAGAATGAGCTTGGAGAAAAACAACTTTTGTCTAAACGTATAGGCAACCGTGTAAAACGAAATTGGTATCAACCCCTCTTCAATAGTAGAACACATTTTATTAATTATGTATGGGATTTAAAAACATATTTAATAAAATAATTATTATTGTTATTAAATCATTATTCATAAAAATGGAATTTATGTTAACTAATAGATAAGAGACCATAAGTGATAGTAAGGCCAAAACTAAACTGAAATTTTGAGCATCCAAACACTTACACGAATATTTGTCATTTCCATAAGTTCAATTTGTCCAAGCCAGTTTTGCACAGGCACAACTGAAGGTGTATACCCACAATTTTAGTTTCCGAAAATGTAACATTCCTGTTCCACCTTGACATGGGTGCCGCCATTATACGATTTTTCTAATGCTCAGCCATTCAAATGCCGCTACCGTCATCGAAACAAATCAAATAATTGTTAAGAAAGGAGCTAAAAGATGAAATGTTTAAAAAAGAAACAACCGTACTACTAAAGCACCATTCATAAACAAAACGCAACTAACTTCCAAACAACATTTGGAAGTTCTCTAGGAGCGTTGAAAACTAAAAAGGACAACCTCCTCATCCGAAATGTTATTACTTCAATCGGCCCATAAAACCACTGGAAATAAAACATAAATATTTTTACAGATATATAAACAAATACAATAGAGAGCAATATTATCTACAATTGGGAAAAATTCAATAGAAAACAATCCTTAATAATAAATTGTTAACAATAAAAATGTTAATAATAAATTGTTATCGACGTAACCCCGTGATCCGCGTATGAGAATATTACACCTTCTGCCGTTATTGCATTACACAAAGTTTCTCTTTCTGCATCAACGGTACAGTACTTATCTAAAATTATACATATAATATTAGTATTAATATTTCTGGCTATGTACGTGATGATGAGATAAAAAATATAAATAATATCGTTGTATGGTATGGGGCAAAATATTATAATCACTTGCAAAAAAAAAAAAAAAAATCTGATACTGCTGATGGGTGGGCCACTGTTATAGGTGGGAAGTTGGAAAAGTAAGACACATAAAATCATTTGAATTAAAACTGTACACAATGATAAACGATTGATAACAAACTATAATACTGAGCAGTTTGGTTAAATTCGTCAGGTTTGTCAGAATACAAATTTAAAACGTAAGGAAACATAAAACTACTACATTAAACACAACGTTACGTTTTAACCGCAAGAAAACTGTGTAGTGAACCTTGTGTTAAATTGTCAAGCGATTCTGTTCGGGTTACACAATTTTATCCATGTTAAACCAAAAAACAACGAAAACCTTGAAAATGTAAAATGCCTATGGAAACTTAAAAGATCAAACTAAGGCTTAAATCAAACTAAAAACTTAAATCTAAAATAACGAACCGTTAATACAGTAAACTTTCCCGTTTATAATATACTATAAGGATAATTATGAAAATTACACGGAATTAAATCTCTTTTAGATTTCTTTGATTTCCAGTAAAAAAAAAAAAACGATTCGCGCCCATAAAACTACTTTTAAATAATTAATACCTCATTGTGTTCAGAATCGAAATAGAAAAAAATCATATTATTTTAAAAGCTCTACCATTTAACTGATATGAGAAAATGTTCACATGTGCCTTTGCATATTTTTTTAATANGCCAATCAAATATTATCATTTATCACAAATATACCCTCTATATACCACTAACCTGGTATGAACCCCGGGAAACCTCAGATACCTTTAACCACACTATATAAACAAGTAATTCGTGAAAACTAGTGTAAAACAAACAGTTATTATGCCAAGACGGAGTAAGAACAAAGTTTAGGCCGATATATTGAACTTAATCAAGGTAATATTTTTAGAATATCAATTCGGATCATTTTTCAAACCAGGATTTCTAATTGAAGGAAGCTAAATTTGTTTATACTTGAAGATGTATATTACAAAATCTCAATAGTTAGGTTAACTGATATGAGAAAATGTTTACATGTGCCTTTGCATAACTTTTTAATAAATGTTTAAATGACACAGATGATTGAAATATCACGATACGAAAACATCAGGTCACTAGGCTATAACACAATCCAGGCCATCCGGAAAATACTCGTCTCCAGACCGGTAACTCCGCTCCTGTAAAACATGTATAATATGTATAAAATAGACTATCGAGTCCATTTTATCGAACAACAACATTATTGCTATCGATATGTTTGATTCACAATGAAAAACTCAGTATTTATCGTTAAGAATGAATAATTAAATAATAATAAATAGTTAACACGGATGGTATTTTTCATCAGCGGGACATTTGGGGGCCGCCGGTTGCGTGGAAGGAAAATCGCATAGGCATATCGATTGATTGACTTCCATTCGAACACATTTTAAAATTAAATATTTTTTGCCTTTTTAAAAAATACCGGAAATATATATTTTACAAAATATAAATCATACACACGTGAGTATTAAATTAGTCATCGTATTGTTATTCAGGTTATTACCTCGTGAAATAATGCACTTATTGTTCTACTCGCCTAATACGGCGTACCATACTGTTAATTTGAATTGTGTCAGACTTGTCATATATTGTATTGATGATGGGAATACAGTGTACGCGTATTATGACTCGAAAAACCGTACGCTTTACCCAAATGAGCATTGAAAACATTCAAAATAACGAGTGTAGAAATAAGTAAGTATATTATAACAGAAGAGCAATTCGATTATTGAAAAAAAAAATGAATTAAAAATTTGATACTGCTCGTAGTTGGGCCACTGTTGTAGGTGGGAAGTTAGAAATNAAAAAATCGACAGAATGTTTGAACATATAACCGTAACTTGATAGGGCTGATATTTGTATTCGGGTCTCTACAATTGTTGTAATCGAATCAAAACCAAAACCTGAAGTCGAAAACAGCAATTCTTTAATAAAGTAAACTTTCCCGTTTATCCTATAAATATTATTATGAAAATTACACGGAAAAATTTTTTTGTCGATTTTTAGATTTCCCGTAAAAAAAAAAAAAAAAATTACGCACATAAAACTACTTTCCGATAATTGATTCCTTGTTGTGTACAGAAGCAAAATTATATATCATATTATTTTAAAAGCTACAGTTTTTTTTTTTTTTTTTTGATATTGACTATAAATTTTAATACATTGTAAACTATCGTAATTTGCCATTATACATTAATCAAAATATAAGCGTATTTTTATCAAACTAGTGGAAAACACACTTGAGTACCTAAACCAGGTGTGAACATATTTGTTTGTTTTGTGTACGAAATATAAACCGAAATCTATATAACAAAATCATTTTCAATCCGGTAACACACAGTGTATTATCAACATATCCAAGTGGGCCGCAGTTAGTGATAATTCGTCTACGACAATACGGAAATCCACAAAGAAATTTTCACTGAGGAAATTTGACTCATCTGCAATCAACATTTACAATATTACCGATTGACTTAGTAACGGTCATTTTTCACATTTTAATATCATAAGTTTCACAATGGGCTTTAAATATTTAGTTTTTTTCCTTTATTTTGTTTTATCGGCAATAGTTTTAACAAATGTTTTAGCATGGGTACCTGGTGTTGAAAAGAACTATTGTTCCGGTAAGAACAATGCATCTTGTTATCAACCTGGTGTATCTTGTTATTATTGTAGAAATCATTGCCTTCTAGGAGAAGAGCCTACTTTGAACTATCCACTTCTTTGTGAAACCGTAGGGTTAAAATTTTGTTATGACCCCAATAATTATACTTTATGTTGTTTGGTATCGTGCAATTAATAAATAAAATATTAATTTTTTATTTACTTTTTTTTTTTGTATTTTTTTTTTGGCTACCTGTTAAAAACTTTTCTACTAGCTGTTTTTATTCGAATTTTAAGTGTACCTTACATTTTTAAAATGAAATTGTGTATCAAGTTGATGTTTCAAAGAAACCTGATTTTTTGATTTTTCGTTAAAATTGGGAAAGACCGTGGATAGAACGCAAGAAAGCCATTAAAATGTACACAATAACGGTTTTTGTTATTTTCGATTTTGTTATTTGATTCCGAGAGGAGCGTGGAACAATTTACCGGGATCCGTTCTATGCTTATGATACCGTATGGTAACGTAGCCTATTTTGGAATTCGTCAAATTACTAAAATGCCGAACGCCTTGTGACTCGTAGACAACATATTATAAGACAGGAAATTTACAGTTAATTTAAATTGGAAATAAAGTTAATATAAATGTCTACAAAACGGTTTACCGTAGTGTTCAGTTTTTGTATTTTGGTCCATATAATTTATTTTAGTGGGAGATATATGGAAAATGATTTGGGAAGTCGGTATAGTGTAAAAAACAGATATCATATGAGTGACCTACTCGAAGAGTTTCAGGCTTTGATTCCCCGAGAGCCATGTGGACCACGCTAAATAGAATACGTACGGAGCCGAAAATGCAACTACTTTCCACATAAACAGAAGGTGAAAAACTCGCCACACCGTAACTGCGGACATTTATAAACTATCAGGCGCGTCGTAGAGGAATGTCCATAAACAAGGTATAATATGGAGGTATAGGTAATTATAATATTATAAAAATTTTAATTGATCTTTTATAGGGGCGATGAAGAGACAATACCTATAGATCGGCTGTCTGAGATTGATGTGTTCGCCTTTAAATATATTTGTCTATATTATTATCTATCTTAATTTGATTGTTAATTTTTTTATACCTTGTATTACTTAAAGTTCAACGATTTTGTTTTCAAGCCATATGAAATAAAAATAACAATATAATACACAGTACTAAGAACATCTCTGATTTCTGTACTGGACAATCTCGATCGGCGTTCAACGTGTTCGGTGACCCGCACACCCACCCATTTCGGTCAGAAGCCGGTCTTCCCAACGAAACACTACTAAATAATAATATTTTTCACGCAACGTCCGCCGAGATTCGAGATTTTCGATCGTATAATAACATTTTCGCGCATCATCTTCAACAATAATACCAACAACGTGTTAAACGATTAGCCATTAGGTACGAACACGGACAGATAACGTACGCGTATAACAGCCGAGTGAATATACATATATATATATTTTTTTTTTTTTTTTTTAATGATTCGTCGTCATCAATGCTGTGGTGTTTTTTTTTTTCGTTTTCTAACTCGTCTCACAAAACCAGTAAAACTTCTTCGGAGTCGTCGTTGTCGTGGTCACGGTATAATATATGATATTATTATAATATTAAATTATTATGTTTACGTGCCATTTTTCGATTATTTCGAGACGCCCGCTATGTCGCGGTATACTCGCGTGGTGTTAAACCGTAGTAAATAACTCGCGTAATAGACAGAGAAGATGTAGGTCGCCTCATTGTGCGGGTGTAGTGAGAGGTGAATAATATTCTCAAAAGAATATTCTCGAGAGTATTCTGGGGGCACAAACAATATTTTCGCAGATTTTTTTTGGTAGTTTTTTCTTGTAAATTGTAAACGGAGAAGTTAAAATGTGCGTGTTTAATTAAAATACGATTTTACAAGTAGTTATTACAAATGTACTTTATTTGTAAACGATATACCTACTGAGACATAAAACACAAGAACTCTCTGTCTATTTTAAGTTACCAATAAAGTAAATTTTGCGAATAAAATATCATTTGCCTACATTGGTTTTAAATTTAAACAACTATATTTTATTTTGCGCAAGTTATCTTCTGTTTTTGTTTAATAGAAACGTGTTGTCGGTGTGGCTTGTGTGTAACATCGTTAACTAATCGGTATTGCAACTATTGATTGGTAAGCGAGAAAAATTAGTCATTTACATTTAGAACATTACCAACTCAATGATTTTTAACTGAGCCATAGCGTATGACTGTTGAGAGTTTAAACGACACATATAATAAAAAAAAATACTTGTACAACTTTTCAATTCTAGTGTTTGCAATGTTGGGCGCTTAATCCTTTACGTATGTCGATATATTATGTACGTAACGGCGAAACACATAATTCCCGAATTTACGTTAAAAAGTCAATGAAATCAACATTAATGACGAATGCGTTTCGGGGAGACTCGGAAGTTATATTTAACACAAAGCTACGAGTATTCTTGGATTTCGAAGGAAAACATTGGTCACGGGTTTTGTTACATTCAACGAATCGATATTGTCATCGGTGTGTTATATTTTCGCCCTTTCATTGCATTTATTGAAATGTACATACCGACAAGCAACATAAACGTTCTAGGTTAGTGACTAGTGGGGTCTTTTGATAACAAAAATATGTAAATCTGTCAATACGTTGAATATCCACTTGCCGTGGTTTCGCCAAAAACCTGATGAACATTTTTTTTTTCATAACATAAACAACTTCCGTCTTCCGATAAACAAAATGCATGCGACTCTTCTTCGTGCACGTTAAGGTATGATTACTGGGAACCCATCCTGGCTGTGTTGACCGTCCGGGCTGTCCTTACGTATTTCAAAAATGTGGAAATTGACATAAAACATAGGAAAACGTTGAAATATTTGTATAAGTTATGAATAAAACAACATAAAATAATGTTACTAAATCAATCGGCCATTTAGTATATAGACGAACCGTGAAAGTGAATCCAAGTCGAACGGTTTTTGTCTTGTTTAATGTCGATGACGGCCGTCATGCGTGTAGATATTATGAAAATACACTGCGTTGTTGCTTTTTACTGTAGATCGGCGTTTCCCGACCTTTTTTTCATTCGCGTACCCCTTGACATCTCACTACTGCTTTACGGACCTCCGAATGTCAACTCGTCATATATTTTCACATAAGATAGATACGAATTTACGACATAAGTAACACGAAACATTTGGAAATATTGTAATATTTGAAATATTTGTAATAGGCGCATAAAATTTAGATGAAATCCAGTGTACACGTGACGCCGCTTAATGATATATTTCATATTGTACTCATATTATACCTATGTATAATGAAGAACCAGAATCAATCACAATAACACAAATAACAAATACAAACATTTTCACTTTTTCCGCCGTTACGTTTTTTTTTTTTTCCCCGCTGACCCCTTAACGCCTTTTTGCGGACCCCCGGTCGAGAAACGCTGCAATGTAGACGAATGATAACAATAATGTTACGCGAATTAAGATTTATATTTCGTGGCCAAAACAAGTATTTACCGTATAACAAAGAGTAAACATCGTGTTACACAATAATTGGGTTTTCACACCATTTGAATAAATACGCTTGTTTTTATTGTTATTATTCGTTTTTTTTTTTTTTTTTTTTTTTTTTTTTTTCTATGGGAATTAGCGGTATTTCATTATTTATTATTATAATTAACGAGCGATATTTCAACGTCAATTAAACGTCTTTTAAACGAACGGCTTGTGCACGGTTTTTGTGTGTAAATAAATCGAAAACTCGAAGTTGAACCTAATCAAATGTCTAAACGGCGTAACGGTGTAATATTGCCAAAAGCCTAAATTTATTTTCAAACAATAAAATATGACTGGTCCGTATGACTTTTCGCCAGACAAAAAGTACCTCATCGTGACTTGAAGTGTGTGAACTTTCAGTGTAACGCGTGTGTCAGATTGCGCGCACACGCTTTTAGCGTGTAAACGACCTCTGGCATAAACTGAATCTACGCGAATTACGCGATAGGAAATTACGTTTAACAATATTGCCAACGATTCACTAAAGGCCTACTTTCCCGGGACCAGAGAATATCTTAGTCGCGGAGGAAACCATCCAGACCGGATTCGGATCGGGATACGTGCGCGACTTAATCGATACAATATGACATTGTTCTATTATTAACACTGCCCCAATCGGACGTTTTTGACCCATGTATCGGCTGTATTATATTTCACCTATACGAGCAGTTATTTCACGCGGTAACGGTAAAAACCGACGTCGGACGGTCAAAAAATATCGATGCGACCGGAATAATAATATTATTATTATCATCGTTATAAATTTCTCTCCGCACGGCTGAACCGCATAGAAATAATAATAATAAAAAAATAATATCGTGCGCTGACAGTGGATCCGTTGTGGACGTTTCACATAGTAATAATGTAAAAATATATAACAATGCCGCCGACTTCGCACACGTACTCGACGAGTTTTTCCGTGTCCCCCCGGTGCAAACGTCCGCTGCAAAAAAAGTGCACACACACACACACAGTATACAACGACGGTAGTGTGTGTGGTGTGTGTGGTGTGTGTGCGCGTGTGTACAACCGTAATTATTATTATCGGTTAGGTATATACGAGTAAAAAATAAAATATATATAGGTAAACACGACAACGTATTTTACGTGCACTTTCGTCCGCAAATATAGCGGTAGTAGTGTACCTATGAATGTTATTATACCAATCGAGCCTGCAGTCTAACGCACGTTTTGGCTAGGCACAGGAGAAAAAAACGATCAAACGAACGACACACTACTAATATATTACACTGTTGAACGTGCGCGATTCAATAATTTCGAGAAATAAAAATTGCGATTTTACGAATTTCGACGCGCTCCCGGGCATTGCAGTAATATAGACGGTAAATTGAAAATAACGCGTTTCGCAGGACACGGCGTATAGGGCGACTTCCGAAATTCAGCGATGGCCTTCAAACGAAACGCTAATACACATTCCGAAACTCAATAGTTTTCGATAGCAGTTTGAATGCCGAATGGATTTCCATCGGATCCAGCGGTCAATTTCACCGGATTTTCTGATCAGTTCATATTTGTTCTTTTTTTTATCGCGATTTAAATTTATGCCGGACACACGGTAGTATTATGTTCATTGTTTGATAATGTAGACAAAATTATGTAATCATTATATTGTTATAATCGTGTACCGTTTTCTAACGCAATTTAAATAATGTTACGGCATAATCCAACAACGTGAAAAAACCTTCCCATCGTTTAGTCGCGTTTTGGAAGACAAGAATAGTTTGGTTTGTAACCAATCTGCAAGCAGTTTATTTGATTAATATTTTTATTTTTTTTTTTCGTGTAATCACATACAGAGTAATCAGCGGAAATAAAAAAAAAAAACCTCCAAAACACGAGCGCGTTGATCGCCATACGGAAATTGAAAATCCAGCTTCGGTGTCCCGATCTATTCGCTAACACGTTAACAATTTCAGATGTCCGCGACTTCCCGCCATTTATCGTTATTTGTGGCGTGCTTGTGATTATCGACCCCCGTCGTATTGACTGTGGAGGGGAATGGAGAGCGTTCGGTCCGATTATAGCGAATATCAATTTTCGCACTTACGCCACGGGTCCACGCGTGACGCGCGGGTTTTTTTTTTTGGGCGCAACAGCCTCCTAATTTCGACTGTAGAGACGCCGAGACACTTTACAACATTATATTATCACGGCGCTGTTATACAATGGCCGTCTGCGGATCGGCGCGGCGCCACGCGTGTCCGCGACGAGACGACCGCATACCGACCATCGTATTGTGAGGGGTGTAAGTGGCGTCGCGGATCCGCAGACGGTACGCGGTATACATATCGTAGGCGTGATATATGTGTACGTATATTATTCGGAACACGCGGACACGCGAACGAGGGATGATAATTTTATAATAAAAAAAAAAAAAAAAGAGAAAAAAGTGCCGCCGGCCGGCGTCAACGTTTCGGCGGCGGCGACCCCCGCGCGTTCCGGCCCGAACAATGCGACGACGGCCGGCAGCGAGCGGTCGAGTAGTGAAAACGCGACAATGTCGCGACGCGACCGTATCGAGACGGCCGGC